ATGAATACCTTAACCTGACATGTACCTACATGCAACTTAAATGACTGTTTCCCTGTAAGTAGTCAACATGTGGAAACTGAATATTCTCCTACTTTTGAATTTTCCCTTTGGATGCAGGTTATTTGCAGCATCACATCAATCATTCTCCTTGTCTTTCAGTGCCATGCATTTTCTTTCCATTATTTCTTTGGACCACAGGAAGCTTCAGAAAGCAGCTAGGGAGGTGCCTGGTAACTATCATATGTTCTATTTCTGTGATGACATTTTTATGTGTCACAGGTGCACAATGAGAGATAATGCTTTCATGTGACTTGTTGAGGTTGATAATTTTCTGAGTTGTTTCCCTTTTACATTGCCAAATTCAATGTAATCAGCCTGGTACAGGATATTTTTAAGGGTTCAAATTATGACTTGTACTGCAAATAGCGCTGCAATTTTGGAGATGCCTAATTCAGTGAAGCAGTCAGCAAAACATAGCTATGAACAATAACACCTAGACGTGCTGCCTGGGGATTCAATATATTCTCTTGAGCAGAGGCCATACGGAGTAGGGTATGTAGAATTTTGACATGCTGAGCTGCTCGCTTGTAGAGGTGGCTGAGTGACCTGACCTTCTGCTGATCTGTGGGAGCCAGTGTGCTCATTACTTACTTAATCACTGCATATGCTCTCAGAAATCAGATAGACAGCAAAAATAAATTCATTGGCTGATGAATAGATAGCTTTGTTTCTTTTGGAGCAATAGGAAATGTGTAGTAATCACAGAATCACAGAATGGCCAGGGTTGGAAGGGACCTCAAGGATCATGAATCTCCAACCCCCCTGCCACATGCAGGGCCAAAAAAGTAAAGCAAGCAGTCGGGCTGATACTTTAAAAACATCTTGAGATAACAGTAGTTTTACTCTACATACATGGTGTGCATTTGGAGAGAAATACTCAGAGGATAACATGACCACATAAAATTATATAACAAATGTTATATTCATCTGCTTCTTTTCCCTTTTTTAAAATACATCCAAGGTAGAGGAAGAGCAGTGAATTTAAGGAGGAATTGTACTCAGGACACACAGTGTGAATGGAAGCACTGAAACTGAGTCCATCTTCCAGTTTATATACACAGCATCTGGCACAGTCCACTGAGGTCCACAGTAAAACTCTCAGATGTTCCTGTGATGTGTTTCTGTTGGAGATGCTGTTCAGCATGCAACATACCTACCTTGTATGGTTTCCAAAAGAAGGGGGGAAAAAACACGGTGCAAGCAGTAGTTAGCTTTGTGCTGCCATTTCTACATTTGAAAGGTGTGTGTCTAGGTGTTTTAAGCACCAGAAGAGCATTTTCAGTTTCTAGAATACAGCAGATTTGCTGCAGAAACATCCAGCTATGAAATGGTGGAGAATTCTATGCAGATTCTGATCTTAGAATAACATGTTTCCAAATGATGCTGAGAAATGTACTAGGAACAGGTGTACTAAGAACAGTATAAACTGTTTCTTTTGAAGAAACGCTTTGTATTTCTTGTGCTTCTTTATTGAAAGGCTGTAATAGTGATGAACAGCTTTTCTTGTCCTTACAAAGATTTCTTGCTAAATAATTGAAGAGGGAAAGGGAAGATAGCAACTCGTTTAGGGGAGCACAGCTTCCCAGTTGACTCTGCATTAACATTAATTTATAAGCTATTACTATGTGAACCAATAAGCAGAACTAAAGATGTCAAAGTGCTGTAAACTGTAATGTAGGGGGAGATTGCAATAACAGTTATGCGAATGATAAAAAAAATCAGATACCATACATTTAATGGTGCTCCAGAATATCTAAGAGGGATATTCAGAGTACAAAACCATCACATTGTTTTACATATAGTTTGATTTATACAGATAGCAACTTTCTCTGGTACCAGTGTAGGGTACACAGCATGCTGATCTCCACATCTGTAATCAGATCTGTAGATCTTGCTGTCAGATGCATTGAAAGCATTATCCCAGTGCCTATATTCCTGCCATTTGTGCCTTGTGCTCCCAGCTTGCTGACTCTCAGTGCTGCCAGATCAGCACCTTGCTGAGACCCTCATAGTCATGTGTGAGAAACACAGAACTCCCTTTGCTGGCTAGCCACAGATTTGTGCAGCACACACCACGTGTGAGTGTGGCCCTTAGAGGGCACTGCAGTGATCTGCTGCTTTCTCATGAAATTTTCATCGATGCTAATGGCTAACATCTATGCAGCAGCTCCGTTAGAAGCAGTGAGGTCAGACAGCTATTATTCTTGTATGGGAAGTTTATGACTGTGTGTCTGAGCCCCTTGTGTGAGGAACTGAATGTTTGCCGCTGCAGCTTTCTGGAGATCACTTTCTGTGTTTGCAAAAGAGGATATGAAATCACGGTTCCTGATGTGTTTGAGAGGTGTCAATCCCAAGTAGGTGCTTGAGGGGAAACCCAAGCTCCTGCAGTGATCGTGCTCCTCTGCATAGCCACAGTAATGCCCTGTGAAGTACTGGATTGGTTGCTAGAGTTTAATGCCGGTAGGTGCTTTGGTAGCCTAGCAGTACTGCCTGGTTCAGAGCTGGAAAAAAGGTTCTTCCTTTGTGTTGCTGCTCCCCTGCAATGTACCAAGCCAGCTCATGCTTGTTCACTGAGAAGCAAAGCTCTTTCCAAGCCCACCCTAACATTGAATCTTGTTTAGGACACCTGCTGATGAGCTCATCCAGGACATAAGGATGTGTGTAAGGACAGGTATTCTGAGAATGTAGATGGCTTTACTTTTGCCATCCTTTCAAAATCTATCTGCAGTATTTTTACATTTGATTTACTATATTTAGACTCACTTCCTGTTATGCTTACAAAATCTCAACCTCTAAAACCAACCAGATTACAAACAACATATCAAAACAACCATAAAAGTGACAAAGTTCCTAAGGAATCAAAATAAAGTCTTTCCAGCTCCAGAGTGGTTCATTTGATACGGGAGCCCTTTCTCAAAGTGTTCTTTCTTTAGATTGAAATGCAATTTTAAGTTTGCTTTCAGTTGAGAGAGTTGAAAAAATAGTATATTCCTTAATTTTTCTGTAATTTATCTGCGTAATTCATTTTTATCTCTATAAAACAAAACAAAATCTAAGGTGCCTTAGTCGAATATTTGATGTTTCAGAATAAAAATCCAAATTTACCACAAATACATTTTTTTCCCCCAGTTCCTCTCATTAGATTTTAAAAGGAGATGCTAAGCTCTCTGGGAAGGGTCTTATTTCTGAAGCTAGCAGTCACATGCCTTCAAATATTCTCCTTCTGCATTATTCACAACACCTACAGCTGAATGCGTAGCTTAGGCAACCTGGCTTGATATTGAATAATGCAGTCACTGCCTTGACATTCAGAAGGATGTCTGTACCCAGCAAATGCTATTTTTATGTGTGTTGTTGCTTGAAGCATCATGCAAGAGCAGCCTGCATGGCAGGCTTTCTTCCTGGAAGTATACGATTTGGGTGCATGTTTGTTTTTCTTGATTACTCCTTTTTCTTTTCTTCCTTCCTTCATTAATTATCCCAATACATTTTAAAGCCTACGGTCAATTACTATTGAAGTGCATTTAGTTTGAAGCAGAAGTTTCTGCTATTTAAGCCTCTTGTCAGGAAAACAAGTGTTGAAGTTGTTTGGTTTCTTACTTCCGAGGTTGTTTGATGACAGCATAAATATTCAGCTTGACTAAACATGCAATTACAGCAGACTATTGGCCAGATGTTCCCTTTGTTGCGTGGCCTGGAGCCAGAGGGAAGCACAAGAAGCAGCAGCCCTGGGGCACACTGTCCCCACTTTTTGGGAGCCTGATCCCCTCAGAAGCTCAGCACCTGGCTGGGGTTGGCGGAGTGCTGCCATCCCCCTGCTGTTCCTGCTCTGTCCCTCGCTGCTCCTCAGCGGTTCACCACGTCCTTCTGAGAGGCAGAAAGCTGAGGAGTTTGGTATATTCTCTGGGTTTCAGGAGGAGGTGTTGGTTGTGGTGCCTACAGGATTGGTGCAGGCCTTCCAGGTGAGTCAACTGTGAGCACGTGAAGCATTTCACTGGGGCTTTACCTTGTGCATTGCACCTTTGGTCTTTCACAGAGGGAATATGGCTGCAAGGAGCTGCATGAATGAGGGCTGAGTGAGGGCTCTGCTCATAGCCGTGCACTCAGGGAGGAAACCTGGGGGGAAAAAAAAGGAGAATGTGCTGAGCGAGCATCTGCAGCACCCAGACTTTGGTTCAGACTTTGCCAGTCCTCCAGAGATTCAAAGGGATCCTCTGGTGAGAGGGCTCGGGGCAATCTTTGGTGGCATGAATAATTTACAGTGAATCTCAGTGATCTCTTGAGCTTGGAAGTCAGTAAGGAGCTGCACTGCAGTCAGTAGCCTTGTTTGTTCCACGAGAACTGCAAGCAGTGCTTCCACAATTTGAATGGCTGCTGAGGCTGGAAAATAAGGGAGAACTGGACCCGAAAAGCAAGGGAGAACAGGGTAACGGTTGCTCTGGCTGCAGGATATCGGCTTTTTATTCTCGGGTTTATAGCGTCTTTGGAAAAACCTTTACAGCTTAATGGTGGTGCAAGTGCCCGTGGGCGTGCCTCTCTCCCAGGTCCTGCAGAGGTGGGAATCAGCTAATGAGCGGGATCGGAGCTTCCGAAGGACACGGGTCGAGAAAGAGCCCGCTCCAAAGGCCAATGAAGCACTGCGGTGCTGTGACGGTAACCCCGCAGTCTGTGGTTGTGGGGAACCTGTCAGCGACTGCGGAACGTTCGTCCCCTCCGAGCCACAGCGCTCCTCGCTCAGCCGCCGCCGGGCCCGCAGCGGGGAGGGGCCGCGCCGCCCCCTGCCAGCGACGGGGCCTGGCTGCAGCGGCACCGCCCGCAGGAAGGCGCGGCGGGGTGGGGACGGGAGGAAGCGGCGGAGCCTCCCCCGGGCTGGGCTCCGTGGCCGGCCCATGCTTCGGCGGGAGCGGTGAGCGGCGGGCTGAGGGAGCCGCGGGGCGGCGGCGGGCGGCCATGTCGGAGAGCGAGGGCGGCGCGGCAGGTGAGGCGGGGGGATTCGCCGCAATGCGGGAGCGCGGCGGGGGGAGGCGGCCGGGACCGGTGGAGGGGAAGCGGGGGCGGAATCCCGGCCGGCTGCCCGCTGCGGAGCACCGCGGGCGGCACCTCGGGAGGGAGCCGGGGCTCGGAGCGGATCCCGCCGCCCTCCGCAGCCCCGGGGAGCCGCTGCGGCGACCCGGGAGGGAGCGGGGTGCGGGAACAATGCGGCCGCCGAGGCCTTTTGTGGCCGTCCCGCCCGGCGGCCGGGAGGGAGAGAGAGGGCTCGAGTGGGAGAGCGGGATGCGGGCATCGCTGTGGTGTGCTAGGAGAGCCGGGCGGGAGGCAGCACTGCGGCGAGGCGCCGGGACGGTGCGTGCGGGTCGGCGGCTGGAAGGGGCTGCTCCCCGCGGGCCTGCAGGGAGGGTCTCACTGCGGTCCGTCGATGCTCGCACCGCGCCCGGTGACAGGCAGAGCTCCGCAGGGACGGGGATGATCCCTTCCTGTTGGGGATGCTGTAAATGCGTGGCTGGGGGAACAGCCCGAAGGACAGTGTGGGCTTAACCTGGCTCGTCTCATTGTGTCTCTCCAAACCTTCTTCCTCACTGAATGGTGTAGAGACTGGGGAAATGGATGCTGAGCCTTGGGTGGTGGTGGTATGTGTACAGAGAAACTTAAAAGACTGTTAGTACAAATCAAAGAATTGTGGGCTTTGGAAGGGACCTCTGGAGATCATCCAGTCCAAGCCCCTGATAAAGCAAGTTCCCTTGAGGTAGGTTGCAGCAACAAATCCTGGAAATAAATTAAAGGAAAGCTCTTCTGATGAGCTTATTCAGCTGTAAGCCTCAGCACATCTGGGGATGCAGCTCTGTTTTGCAGGTGGGGATGGTGACTCAGATGGGTGCAGACAAGCACCAGCCACAGGACCGGTCAGAAGGCCTCCTTATGGACTGATTTCCTACAGAAGACAGCAGAGCCTTCTTTGCACAGAGAACTTGTGATGCTCAGGAGGCCTGTTTTCAAAATTTCCCCCCAAAACTGAGGTTCTCTGTTGGAGAGAAGGAAGAAAAAAGTGCATCTGTGAGTGGGATTTGGGGAGCACTTTAAATAAAAGAGGTAAACTGTAGCACACGTGGAATAAAAGAGTGCCCATTTCAAACAGTACAGATAATACTGTTTATAAACTGGTTGAATTTTCAAGATCTTTACTGCATATTCACCCCCATCATGTACATGTTTAATGCTTTATGTATAAGTTGCTGGTGCTTACTCTGTTTGAAGGTACCTGTGACAGTTCTGTAGCTGACAACAGGAAGGAACAGAGTGACATTTGTGTGTTAGGTGACAGAGTGCTGTATATTGTTGGCTGTAATAAAGCTGCAAGGTTAGTGCAAGGCAGTGTTGAGAATAAGTGACTTGTGACAGAAGGAGAATTTGTTCAGGAGGGGTTTTGCTAGAAGATGGAATGTCATGCAGTAAATCAATGATTTGCTGTGCCAGAAATCTTTATGTGCTTTCCATTCTCTGGAATGCTGAAGCTGTCAGAGAAGAAAGACTTCAGGGATAAAATGTGATTTAGTAGGTGTTGTATTGACAGTCCAGGGGCTGCAGCCACTTACTGCAGCGTAGTACAATGCGTAGAAGAGAGGTCTGTATGTAAAACAGCACGGCGTTGCATGCGGAATCTGCCCATCGCTTATATCTCCAGTCAGCACAGCACTGCGGTATCTGCAGATTGCAGATTGCTCAGGGTGAGCCTCGATGCAGTCATTTGTGCCCCTGAGCTGTTGCATGTGGAACTTCTCATTGTACTGCCTTCTAGTGCTGGTCAGCCAATGGGTGATGCTGATTCAGTTCTCCTTTACTGTACGCACCCTGTGAATTTTCAGTTCATTCCCCTGGGGTAGCAGCGGGTGCCTAGCAGTGCAGGGAGCTGCCCTGCTCTGAGCTGCGGGGTTTCCCCAAAGCTGGGTTTGACTGCAGGGAGGCCCTGCGCTGCTCAGCACTCGTATGGCGTGACACCGCTGTGCTGGCCCAGAGCTGGGAGCAGTGCGGCTCGGACGCGGCTGCGGCTTTGGATGCAGCTGAAGTCAGCAGCCCCAGGAGGCTGATGCTGTGCAGGAAGACCTGAATGCTGCCTCAGCTGCAGAAGATCTGATCTGCAGGTGTAAATGTCATGGTGTAGGTTCTGTTTTGCTCTCTAACTCTGTCCCTGTTGTTGGGGTTACACATGAGTTGACTGGTGTCTTGCCTCGTGCTCTTTTCTGCCAAATGCTTTTTACTGTACTCTGCTATGATGTCACTTCTGAATCCCTTCACCTCCATTTTCTGTACCTGAATTAGTTCTGCCTTTTGGTGTTGTATTAGGTGGGATTTCAGAAGTCATTTACTCCAAAGAGTGCAACATTTATAGCTTAGAAGTGTTTCTCTGTGGCTATTTTAGTCTACATATTGTAAAGGAGCAGCTTAGCTTAGTCCAGTATTTTAAAAAGCACTGCTGGCCCTCAATGAATGATAACAGAGAAATGGGTAAGGAATAAACAGCATGGCACTCAAGTGATGTGACTTCCCAGGAGGAGAACAGTCGTGACCACAAGTAGCTCTGAAACAACTTTTTATGGGAGCTTGGCTCTATTCCTTTTATTTATTTATATGTAAGGTAGTTGTTGAGATCTGCCGTAAGCAGCTCAGTGAAATCATGAGAGTCTTTGAGTGTTGCATTCAGAAGTGACTTCAGCTTCTTCTGTGGTGACCTTCTGAGTGACAGTTGTCACTCTCACAGAATCACAGAATCGCCTGGGTTGTAAGGGACCTCAAGGATCATGAATCTCCAACCACCCTGTCTGGCAGGTCCACCAACCTCCGCATTCAGTACTAAACCAGGCTGCCATCCAGTGTGGCCTTGAACACCTCCAGGCATGGGGCATCCACAGCCCCTCTGGGCAGCTTGTTCCAGCACCTCACCTCCTCTCATAGTAAAGAACTTCCCGCTGATATCCAACCTAAATCCACCCTGCTTATCCTCTGCTCTCCTGTTAAGCACCCTCGCTAACTGGCAGTAGAAATGGGTGAAGCTCCAAGTTACGACACATTCGTGCAGGGCTACTCAGCTGTGTTTTCCCACTAGAAAAGAGGAAGACTTGGAATCTGTTTCAAGAATGAACTCTGAAGTCCATCAGTTGTGACTGTAATTGGTATGCTCACTTCACAGATGTTTTACTGAAAAAGTGCACAGCTGGTTTGTAACATGAGGTCACAGATGTTGATGTTGCACTCAGAGAAAGCTGCTGTCAAGTATGAACTGAAGGGATCTGCTGTGCCACTAGTGTACGTGAAGACTTCATGTTCCTAACTGCAGCAGAGGTCCTGGCTCCTGGCTTCATCAGATTGAGGCTGCCTCTGCTCAGCCACCGGGTGCCTTTTGGTCTTAAAAAGAACATTCCATAGATCTCATTACTCAAAATATGTCAACTATGACCCATTTGCTGTTGTGTTAAGGAACATAGTGATATGCATTTAAAATAAACATATGCAAGTTTTAAATTTTACTGTAACTATTACTGAAGCAGTAACTTTTCACTGTTTTAAAATTAGGATGGCAGTGCGTATTAAAACAGGAAATTCCTTCGAAGTCTGCCTCAAAGGGATTTGAGAGAGGATTTTGTGTAAATGAAAAGGAAAATGCAGTCAATTCTAACAAAAAAAGTAAATAAACAAAAAAATACTCAGAATCTGGAGGTCAGCGCTGAGACTGGAAAGCCTTTGTTCCTGTCTTCTGATGCCTTTGCTAAGGGCAGCATCAGGGTATGTCAGGAACAGGGAGCTGCACGGGGAGCCGCGTTGGCTCGCCCCGCTGTTGGCATGCTGCTGTGCTCTGCTTATGGATAGAAGCTGCTGGGTTCACTCAGCAGTGGTTTGGGCGCGTGGACTGGCTCTGGAAGTATCTTAATTTGCAAATACAAGGGACCCGGAAGGGTCTTCCTCTGTTTGTTCCATCAGTAATTCTGTAAGCTTTGGCCGACTCTCAGTCTGTGCCCTGGAGATGCAGTTTTCCTAGGAATTCTGAGAGATGTTTCCATCAGCTTGTATTGTTTGCAGTCAGAAAGAAGCATGTATATGAATGCAGTTTTATAGCAGCATTTGCTTGAAATCTGTGCAAGATTATTTGCTATCATCTCAGAAGAACTACCGTCTCTGTTACAGAAATGTCCCCAGTCAACTGTAGTTTCCTTGAGGAAGGAGGCAAGTTGTTTTTGTGTTGGGTGAAGCAAGCAGCATAGAGATCCTCTATGAATTCTGCTTTGACTTGCTCTTGTCTAGATATATTTTACATTGATGATGCTTTTCTGCACCATTCTTTAAGGGTTTCTCAGTCTCTGTGTGTACTCCAACCATTTTGAAGTTCAGAGTGCTCTGAGCTTGCCTGTGCAGCATGGCCTTTTGTCACGAGGTTTTTTTAATTCATGGTTTTTTTTCTTCCCATTTCATATGAACTCTGGACAGTGGATATTTGGGTATATCCCCCCTTGTTACTGCAGCCAGGCTGTTTGTCTTTAGTCAGAGATAATGAGAGCATTAAAATCACAGTTGCTTTATTCAGTTCTTACCACCTTCTAGTCGCTGTTTGAGAAATGCATTCCTGACAACTTGATGTTGCAGATTTCATCTTTGAGGACTCCTGAGGCTTTTTCTCTATTTAAAGACCAAAGTACCTGTGGTTATGATAGGCTGACTGGCAAATGGCCCCATTCCCTTGTTCCAAATAGATCCAACAAATTTAACATCGCTTTCTTAAGTTTCCATGGATACCTCGCTAGAACACATGCTGTAATCAAACCAGTAGGGCATGCCATTTGCAAAAGCTTTCACTATTGTCATAATGGAACTGCTGAATTCAAACCTGTCCTTTTAGAGTAGCTCTCCTTCTTACTCAGCTTCTGGTTTTACCCATAGCAGGCTGGATCCTGTGCTTGTCCCTGTGGAAGCACAGCTTTTCAGTTGGCTGTC